GCCTTCTTGTTTGGTTCCCTTGCCCCAGTCTTTGTTTTTGTCCTCTTTACAGCTCCTGAGAAGTACACTTCCAACTCATTTTTAGCCCAGATTGCCCAGAAGTTTCGGTGAATGACTTGCATATCTAGTACTTGCAGTTTGAACCTCCTGGAGCAAACTTTCTGACACAGCACCATGTCAATCCCATCCAACACAGACTGTAACATCCGTTTCAGGTGCAGACTCAGGTGACAGGGATGGGGCTCCTGGAATCCAGGCAGGAACAGGGGTGACTGGAAATGCCAGGTCTGAGCCTCTTCTCCCCTAATTGCAATTTTTTCTAACTGAAAAAAATTCTAATTGAAATTAGAAATTTAATTGCAACTTTTTCTAATTGAAATATACATGTAAAAATGTACACGTAAAAATAAACCAAAAAATGTACGTATAGAGCCCAATTAACTTTCACTCCTTTGTTTCAGGTTTCTAGCAAAATCACAGGTCTTTCTCCACTTCCATCTGACTCTTCTCATCCCCTTGTATTAATTTTTTTCTCTTTAACCATTATGGGTTGAACTTAGCCTGTTACGCTCCTAATTCCTAGTAGTAACCAAGTAGTAACTTTGCTTGGAAATAAGAGCTGTGCAGATGTAACCAAGTGGAGATGAGATCACAGGGAAGAGGAGCCTAATCTAATGTCTGGTATCTTCAAACACTGGAGGCAAGCATTGTGGTGAATTAACAACTGAGACTTGTAGTGATCCTCCTGTCTCAGCCTCCCCAGCACTGGGATTACAGGTGTGTGCCACCACCCCAGTTGTACAGCGTGCAGGGGGTTCTGGGGCCGGCACAGCATGCGGTTGGTACTGGGGATCGAACCTGGGTCCCTGTGCTTGCCAGGCAGGTGCTTAAACTGCTGAGCTATCTCCCAACCCCTTGAATTAACTAACAGTCAGCTTGCCACACCCAGCTGAACTGAGGATTGCTGCCAACAGCATAAAAGAACTGGAGGGGAAGATGGTGGTGTTGGTTCTCCTGGAGAAGCTTGACCTGCTTGCTTTCCTGATATGACCTTGGCTGTTCTCAGAAAAGCTGTCACTGAGGATGGCTATGGTTCTTTTTTTCTTTTTTTAAAATAGTATTGGGGGATCGAACATAGGACCTTGTGCTTGCCAGGCAGGTGCTTAAGGAGCTGAGCTATCTCCCTGGCTCCTCTGTGGTTCTTTTCAGGGCAGCTCTGGTCCTTACCTAGAGCAATGCTTCCTGGCTCCAGTACATTTCCCTCCGCCTGCTGGCACAGATCCTTGATACAGACTCACATGAGACATTGTCACAGGCTCTAGTCTTCAGCTGGACTTGTGAAGGACACTGCCATGTACATGGCCTTCAGTTGGACGCTTGTGGGACACTGCCCTGGGGTCCAGGCGCTCAGCTGGGTTGTTTCTAGTGGGTGGACACATCTCCCACACATTTTGAATTTGACTCTTTGGGTAAATATTATAAAATAATCCTATAAATTATGTATCCTGTATTAAATCTTTTCCTTTGTAAACCATGACAACAGGCATGTAGAAGACGACGATGTGAAGACAGCCACGTAATGGTGGAACTAGTGACTGCAGTGTGTGTGTCTACGAGTCAGCAAACTCCAGAGACCCCAAGGACTGCCAAAGGCTGGGAAAAGGTAATGATTACTGCATAGAGCACCAGAGAGCACGGCCCCACCACTAACTTGACTTCCAGTCTCCCCATCTGTACATTTCTGTTAAGGCCACCAAGTTTGTGTTTTCTTCCATATTTCTAAGAAACAAATACAAGCATCATCTAACATATTATGTATTTTATTTATTCCTTCTGATCTTTTTACTAAACTGTAACCAGTATGGGAGAAGATTTCATTCTTTTGGTTTTTTATCCCCAGAGGCCCAAACTGTGTGGCAAAGAACAGACAGGTGAATGAGTATCAGCTGCAGTCCAAAGTGGGTGTGTCGGAAAAGTCAACACATACACAGCGGTACAGGGAGGGTGAAGCTGTTTTTACCTCCAAGTAAGAGAAAATAAGACACAATAATTTGCACAAATAAGGATTTATTTTTCTCACATAAAAGCCCAAGCAGCACCCCAGCACCAGGACCCCCGGTGGCTTCTGCATCTCCATGTGCACCCTCGTGTCCAGCAGAATGGCCACACTGGCCGCTTTACAGTGGGAGTAAACCAAGCTAAGCCCCTCCCCAGCAGGCTCCTCCAGCATTTCACTAGCCACAGGCCTCACACCTCTCTCTCTCTCTCTCTCTCTCTCTCTCTCTCTCTCTCTCTCTCTCTCTCTCACACACACACACACACACACACACACACACACACACCCCTAGGTAAAACAATCTTTGGGAAAGATCTGGAAATGACACTTGACTGTAGATGCTACATCAAATGCCATCTTCACAAAGTAAAAAAGCAAAGCACACTGGGCGGCACCTATGCCAAGCGTGTAGCCAAAGGACTATTACCCAAGAACATTGTACACACGCAATAAAAAGAAAAAGAGGCCATAAAGTACCAAGAAGAAATTACATGACTGATAAAAATCTTCAAACTGACTTGTGAAGAAATAGAAACTAAAACTTTTGCAGCCATCAGATTGTTAAAAATTGAAAACTGACATCAAATGCTTAGTAGGCAGAGGGGAACCTCAGCAGCCGTTAGCCACAGTGGGAAGCAAAGGACATGCTCCACTTTGGGCAGCACTGTGCCCATCTAGTAAAACTGCAAACGTATGCGAGTTACAACCCAGCAATTTCACATTTGCAAGAACAGACATGTCCAAGAGGATCTGGAGCTCACGGCAACATCTAAGAGCTGAAGCCTGGAAACCACCTAAATGCGCAGGGGCAGCGTAACAGAGAAACCAGAATCCATTCGTATCATGTAACACGTATGAAGACACATCCTAAGCTGCACGTTGCCTAAAGCATTACTAGCAATGGTGAGTTTTTGAAGTTGAAGAACACATTCATATACCAGTGAAGATTTTTTAATAATGCAAAACAATACAATGTATTTAAATGATGTATAATTCCTAAGTAACATTTTTAAGAAACAGAAAAGTCAAATTTGGCAGTGATTACCTCGGGGGGAAGGGAAAAAAGGGATCCAAGTGTGTTGGCAATCTTATTCTCATACCGCACAGTAGCTACATGGGTATACATTTATATTTAACTTGTATAATCAAGTAACTTTTTTTTCCCAGACAGTCTTACAGTATAGCTCAGGCTGGCCTCAAGCTGATGAGGGTCCTCCTGCCTCTGCCTCCTGAGTGCTGAGATTACAGTACAACCAGTCAAATAACTTCATTTTTAAAAGCATATGGCAAAAACCTGATTATGGTCTTAGGTGTAAGTGAAAATGCTAGTATGTCAAGACCTACAGAAGAAAACAGTGAACTTCCCCCCAGATGCACTACGTCATGTTCCAATAGAAAGTTACAGTGAGACTGACTAGCACGCTCACTGCTGCGTCTGCTCCCAGCCTAGTGACCACTACCTAGAACGGAAGCCTGGTTACTCATTAGAACCACCGCAAGGGCTCCTAACCCTGTCCTCGTTCTGCTCCACGGCTTCCTAACCCAGACCTGAAGAATGCAGAGGGCTCTTCCTAGTTCTCCAAGTGGCTCTGATCTGCAGCAGACATTGAGAACATAAACTGCCAATTTGTCTGATAATTTGGGAATGTAGGGGAGCCGTCAGAATCAAAACTTAAAGGTCATCAGGCAGTGAAGACATGGCTGCGCTAGCCATGCACTTCCAGACTCCAGGTCTCAGCTCTGCATGTCAACGTGGACACACCTGTCCCCCACCTGAGTATATTTCCAGGGTTGTTCAGTGAAATGAACGAATACGCATCATCTGACTAGAAGAGCATGCACAAAGCAGTGTCTGAAGAAGCTGTTCCGAGAAGTGTACTTCAATACAAAGCATCGTACTCTTTGGTGTTATGAAAAGGCCCCCGAACTTGTGAGGGAAACACTGAAACCCCATCACTGTGACCTCTGGACACGCAACCTACGGAAAGTGCCTCTGGTACACGGACCAGAAGTCGTTAATAAGAGATCAGTGAAGAACTCTGAAGGGTGATGCTGAAAATTAAGGGGAAAATTAATTCTCACTCATTAATTTTTGTTGAGATAGGGTAATGCTGTATAGTTTAAACTGTTTCTGAACTCACTATGTAGCCCAGACTGGCTACAAACTTGTGGCAATCCTCCTGCCTCAGCCTCCCAGTGCTGTGATTACAGGCATGTGCCACCATGCCTGGCCCTTCTTCACTGACTTTTTATACAATCTGTATGTTTTGCAGTGAGAATCTGTTTGACAATGTTAACTAAAAAACCCAGGCAAGGTTTGCTTTGGCTTGGGAGATGGGAAACAACCATTATTGAGGTGCAAATGGAAAGATGCTGGAATTAGTGACTTAGTTAGGCCCCCAAGAAGTACAGAGTTGGGCTCACATCACATTGGGGTGAGGGGAGATGCTCCCTGGGGAGCCCTGGATGGCAGCAGAAGGCAGGGACCAGGGTAGAGAGGAGCAGGTGTGAGTGGAAGCGGCTGGACGGCGATGCTCTGCTTCAGATTTCCTGCCTTTTCCTGTATCCCCTTTCCTCCTCAAAGCACCCACAGAAAGACCACTGCTGAGCCCAATCTGTTCTCCTGCCCCCACCACTCCCTTCCAGGTAACACTGGCTCCCAGAACGCGTTCCTCTGTGCCCTGCCCTGGCCTGGCCTTGAAGCCTGGGCTGAGGGAACATCCTCTCCAGCGTCTCCCATGTACTCCCCCGCCCTCCATCCTTTTACCAAGAGGCCTGGAGCCAAAATGGCACAGGGTCCTGTCCCCAACACCTCTTCTCCACTTGGGAAATGGGGCAACCACATCCCTCCCAGCCAGTGCTCTGCTGAGGGCCAGAGGGAATGACGCTGGAAGCTGTAAGTTATCAGAAGAAAAAGAAAAGCCCTTTAGAACAGTCACATGGCTAAGGTTGGCTATTTCACTTTATTTAGCAAACATTCATCCTCTGGGCCCCATCAACTGCTCCTCCATCCTTTCCTGAGGTCTGCCCTGGAAAGAAGCTCAGAGGGGGACAGAAAGGCCCTGCTTCCCCAACACAGGCCTTTTCTGTTGCCACACACATCACACCTTAGAACCAAACCACTGCTCTGGGTCCATGGAGCCACCCCACTGTGGCTTGGGGGGCCCTCCAGTGTTCAACAACCATGTCCAGGGCCTCAGCCCCCGGCAGAGGCCTGTTCCTCAGATATCACCGGGAACAGGGCTGAGAGTCTCGTCTCTGGCTGTGGGGATACTGAACCTGGCCCTGCCTTCTGTTCATGCTGGGCAAGACGCAAAATGTATGAAAATACTTTAATCATTTCTTTGAAACGGTTAAGAAATAAGATCGTTGTTTTTCTTTTACGATCTCAGTAAAAAAAAAAAGTTCACACTAGAGCCTGGGCCCAAAGTCAGGCTCTTCTTAACCAAGTCAGCCGCTCAGTAGAAACGCTTGTTCCGCTCCTGGCGCTTCTGAAACACCACAGCACCCACCACGGCGCAGACAATGATGCCCAGAAGTGCACACAGCAGCAGCAGGAAGACCCTCCACCCTGTCAGGGGGCCACTGCGGAAGTTCCCCGTGGGGTCGTCCACATTGTCTGAGAAAAAAGAAAGGGGGAGGTGAATGGGAAAGTGGAAAGGACAGGCCTGCCCCTGCCGTTGGCCTCCAGGAAACATGGCTAACAGGACCATGGCCAGCCAGTCCTGGCATCAGGGCCACTATCTCAGGGGCCACCACACCCATCCTACATGTAGGACAGCACTGTTTGCAGGGACATGTCTTGTGTCCACACACTGGCCTGGAACACATGACATTGACCTGACCATAGCTGAGTCCATAATGGGTAGGGCAGGTGTGGGAAGAGGGCCAATTCCACAGAGACCAAAGTCCCAGGAACCAAGGCCTGGGGTATAATCTGCTGTGAGGCACTGATTAAAACCACAGATTCCTGGGCTCCTTCCCCGAGCCTGGCTGTGTACGGGGAGAAGCCCAAGGATCTGACTTAGGGGCAACTCTGCCCCTCAAGTCTGGGTGGTTCCAAGGACCCCAGCAGCCTTCCAACCCTGAGGCCCCTCGCCCTAGAAGACTCTCCCACTCTGGCCATATCATTCCTTTGTCCCCCAACTCCACCAACAGACCCTGTTGGGTGGTAGGCTCTATGTGTGGAATCTCACAGATCCTCACCACTCTGGAATGTGGCACTGCTGACTTCCCTTTGCAAGGCTAAGAGAAGGAGATGATCAGGCTGTAAATGGAGGAGTGACCTGGACTGAGCTTTGTTTTGGCTAATCAGCCTCCTCCAACTGCAGACCTCTATTCTCCACTGAGGGTCCCTGTCTTGACTCTCAGCTGTGTCCATGCTGCCTACTTGATAGAACACTGACTCCAAGCCTACCTCCAGCCTCCCTTCCCACGTAGCCTAGCCCAGGCAGGCCTACAGGCCTTTCTGCTCCTGCACAGGGGCAGCAGTGGCCACTGGCTGACCCAGGAGAGCCATGGCTTAACCTCAGGGCTCCCACAATTCTCCTCTAATCCCTCTTCTACATCATTCACTAGACTGAGCCGCAGGGCATGGCCTGCCTAGCCTCATGTTTCCAGTGTCCAGTCCATGGCGGGGCACGAAGTTCTGGAAACATCTGCTGAAGGAACAAGTAGATTATCAAGTCTGAAAACGAGTTAATCCCTGCCTTGCCAGTCACATGGCGGTGTGGGTAGGTTGGAGTAGATGGTATTCCTGAAAGCACTCAGCAGCCAGAACTCCTCTGACCAGTGGTGGTCAACAGTGGAAGGATTTGTCACCTAAAACATTTAAAAGCCATTTGAATCTTTAAAAAAAAGTAAAATGTCACACAAAAAGCTAGATTCTGGCTTTCCCTACAAACCCAGAAAAATACTGAGAACAGGGCCTAAGGGCTGGGCTAAACTCTCCAGTGGCCCAGCCTGGTAGAGCCTGCTCAGGCCTGTGCCATGTACGCCTATCACCACCAGCCCCACAGAAGTTCTTGGGGTAGGATGAGGTGGAGGTGCCTTGTCCCTCCACCAGAACATTCGCTCCATGGGGCACAGTGATAGTTAATGAAAGAAAACAGGCATCAGGGTTTTACAGAAACCCAAGTTCAAATATGGCCTCTCTTACTCTCTGAGGAAACACAGGAACTGGTCCCCATGGCCAGTGCAGGATCAACCTCCAGGCTGTTTACAGAAGTAACACATGCGGTACAGAGCGCTGGGCATGCCACCTACAAATAATAAGCTGGCCCTAGAGGCTATATTGGCTACTATCTGCAGGACAGGAGGAAATAAACTCCGATGTGCACTGACTACCTACTGATGCCGTAACAGAAATCACACAGCAAGGAGGGTGGCCGCATACATAACTCTTCTGCCTCATTCATTTACTTGAAAACTCACCATAGCTGACCCAGCCCAAACTCCTGGCCTCTAGGAACTCAGGCAGAGACAGCCAGTATCATTTCCCCAAGGCAGGGTAGATCCCAGAGCCCAGACCGCCCAGACCAGAGCCATGACGGGATCCAGCAGGGCAAAGGACCACAGTGCTCACTTGAGGCTCAGGCAGGGCAGGGACCATGTCCATATGTACCTTTAGGAGACTTGAAGAAGTTGACACCAGGCTCAATCTTGGTCCAGTCAATGTTTTCCTCGTCAGGAGTGTGTTCTACCATGAGCTGGAACAGCTTGATGGAGATGATGTCATGATTATCTACGGGACCAAGAATGCACCTATAACAGCCTAGAACGACTCAGGGGCCCTGTCCAAAAACAAAGCACTGGCTGGCCATGGAAAGTGCTACTCCTGCCCATGGCTGGCCTCTTTTCTTCCCTGCTACCTCTAGCCCCCAGGAAGACAGTATTCTAGGAAATCTGGGAAGAACAGGGGAAGCAGCTGAGTGGTAGAGGACATGGTTGGAAGCACAAGCACACAGACACACACACAGAAAATAAAAGAAGTGTGATGGCACATGCCTGTAATCCTAGCACTCAGGAAGCTGAAGCCACGACACCCAAGAGTTCAAGGCCAGCCAGGGCTACATAACAAGACCCCATCTCAAAAAACCAATAAAGAAACAAAAGAAAGAAAGAAACTAACCAACCAGCCAACCTAGCAGGAAGAAGCCAAGTGGCAAGAAGAGAGCGTGAATTTTACGTTAAAAATCATCTTAGTGTAAATTCTGTGTCTGTGGCCCTCCCTGAGGCTGTTTCCTCATCTGTAAAGTGAGAGTGCTACGCTAATCATCGCCTAAGGTGGTCAGTCACCAGGGCAAGCTAATGAGTGCACTGTTGCCAGAGCGTAAGTACCTAAGACAGAGACCAGGTATGGGCTTCCCAAGCGCAGGCAGCTGCCAGATGCTGCCAGAGACCCATGTGTGGGCTACAGATAGACAAGTCAGCACCCAGCTAAGGATCGGATCCCAAAACAGTCAGGAGACCTGGAAAAGGTACAGTCCAAAGAGCATAGGCAGGAAAGAACCTCTGCTTGACACCAACACATATCGCATTAAGAGATGAGCAGCGCTGGCATGGTGGTGGGCGCGGTAATCGCAACACTTAGGAGGCTAAGGCAGGACTGCTGTGAGTTCAAGGCCATCCTGGGCTACAAAGTGATACCTTGTCTCTAAAAGACAAGACAGACAGACAGAGACAGACAGACAGACAGACAGACAGAGACAGACACACACACACACACACACACACACACACACACACACACACAGAGGAGCTTTCCCGGCCAGCCTGACTCTCGCCACAACTTTGGTGAACCAAATGGAATATGGGAAAAGGTCTAGTTTTAATGTGGAAATTTATAAATGCAAGAGAAGCAGAACCTATAATGGAAGGTGGCCAGACCAGGGAGATCCACATGGCATCTGACAGCCAAGGGGGCATAGCCCCTGGAGATCGTGAGTGGCCTGGAGATACAAGGACCAGCTATGGTGTCAGACTCTAATTCCCATCTGGGCTGCGCCACTTCCAGCTTGTCATCTTGGGGAAACTCTCTCAACTCTCAAATTCCCTGGGGTTTCAGTTACATAAAAATAGGAACTGTTACACACCCAAGAACACATCCTGACTACCTAGAGGGTGCCTGGCACTGACAGCCTCCCCACTAATGGCTGGGCACTAGCACTGCGACAGTCTCCACCACTCTTAAGGGAGGTTTATTTTCTGTTTTTGGCTCCCAGGACTGAACCCAGAGTTTCCAGCTCGCTAGGCAAGCATTCTACCATTGAGCTGAATCCCCAGCTCCTCCCCCACTCTTCACTGCACTTCTCAAACCAGCCTTGGAGAGCACACATCAGCCACAGATCATCTGTCCCTCACGATGGAAATACTACAATAGGAAATTCTCAGTAAAAGGGAAGGTAAAGGGAGTGTCACGGTGGATCCTTCAACGAAACAAGACTGATGTGTGCTGGCAATTACAGACGCTGGGCGACCAGAGCATGGGCCTTATTAGACCATTTTCTCATCTGCGGGGTACAGAATTGGAGATCCCCTCTTAAGCTTTGCATGGTGGTGGTGCTCACCTATAATCCCAACACTCTATGAAGCTGAGGCAAGAGGACTGTAAATTCAATCCCAGCCCAGGCAATTTAGTAAGACTGTGTCTCAAAAAAAAAAAAAAAAAATTCAAGAGATGTAGCTCAGTGTGAAAGCCCTGGTTCAATCTCTAGTGTGGGCCCCTGCCAAAGTTCATTATTAAACTTTATTTATTTAGTCTTTTTTGAGACAGTTTCACTATGCAGTTCAGGCTGGCCTTGAGCTCACTTTGTAACTCAGGCTGGTCTCAAACTCAAAATGATCCTCTTGCCTCAGCCTCCAAGTGCTGGGATTAGCATCTGCCACCACAGCCAGCATATCAAACTTTAAAACCCCAAAACAATGGACATTTTGGGATTTCTGGGATTACCTGGACCTATGCACTGCCCTGGAGAGAGGGGAGGCCACTGGCTGTGAGAAGTGTTAACAGTTCCTGAATATTCCGAGGGTAAATAAGCCCTTTGTTGAGTCAAACATATCTCCTCTCAGTTATGCTCTTTAGGAGTTAGCCTGGGCCTGGTACCTCCCAGATGCCCTGCAGAAAACTGAGGCTCCCAGACAAGGGCCCTGAAGTATCACCTAGGCCTAGTGACACAGCATGGTCTATGCAGGACAGAGGCATGCTGACGTTTCCTGAGTATCTACTATGGGCCAAATGAAGCATTTCTTTGACTTCATTGAGGTTACAATTTAGATGGTGAACGGAGGGAAAAAACCCACAGAAAATAAATTTTACAGCTGACTGGAAGAACAGATGTTAGGCCAGAGGGATGGAAAAGGTGAGGGACAGTATGCTGGAGACTGGAGGGGAGAGCACAGTTTTAAATGAGAAAGAATCAGGAAGGCTCCCTTGTGGAAGTTACACTTGAGCAATAGTCAGCTGGAGGCCCCCATACGCAGGGAGGAAGCAAGCCCTGATCACATGTGATGAAGAGCGGACAGGTCCCTGGAGCGATGCCTTGACTCCGAGTGAGATGCAGCCCCTGCAGTGAGGAGCAGCGGGAGTAGGCTCCATGCAATTACTCTGGTTGCTGTGCGAGGGCGAGGCTAATGGACCAGTGTAGAGGGAGATCACTCGGGAGGCTCCAGCAAGAGGTGATGGTGGTCTGAACCGTCCAGGGACTAAGAGAAGGGGGACACGGTGCAGGCCACTACTACACAGATCTGGAGACAGAATCTACGTTATCTAGATTCAGCCTCTCATTTCCTAGGGATAAAGATCACCAATGAATTGTTCAAGCTCTGGGCCTCCTACAATTACAGGAAATGGGAAGAAAAGGTCATAGGTATGGAAACCAAAGGAAGGAAGGCTACTATGTCAAAGCTTCCAAGAGGGACAGGGAGATGGTTCAGTAGAAAAAGCACTTGCCTGGCAAGCACAAGGGCCTGAGTTCAATCCCTGGTTCCGTCAAAAAGAAAAAAATAAATAAAAATAAAAAATAAAATGTGGGGAAGCTTCCAAGAGACCATGGAAGACACAGGCTGGGAATGAATTCCTCATTCAGCCCGCTCACTCACCGGACAGGTCGCCGGTGCCAGCCGAGGCTCCGAAGTAGTAGCCGGTGGGCAGGCGCACACCTATGATGTCGATGCAGTTCTTCCACTCATTCTTGTCCTCCAAGTCAGTCATCACCTGCAGCCAGCCAATAAGTTAGGCACATCTGCAGGCCTGAGCCAGCCTCCTCCCCGAGCCTCGGCAGAACCAGCACGCGCTCAGCTTTGGGCTCAACTGGACTCAAGCAGCTCACCGTCAGGCGGCTCCGAGAGTAGCGCACGGCCAGGAAGGTATCGTGATCCCGGTTGCGGAAGTCAGCTGTGCAACCTGCCAGCTCAGTCCAGCGTCCATCCTTGCTGTGGTCGTAGGACAGGGAGCCATTGTTCACCATCACCGAGATGTACGGGAACACGCGCTGGGACCAAGACACTGGTTATTCCACAACTGGCCCAGCCTGTGGGAAGAAGGTGGGTGCCCACCACCCCGATCCCTGGAGGCTCCTTTTGTGCCTGGACCAGGAAGAAGCCCCAGTCCCCAAACTCTAGCCAAATGCCCAGTCCTTGCCTTCCTGGTCCACAGGAAAGAACAAGGCCCTACCTCAGTGGTCTCATCATTGGGATACGTGTCCAGGAAGATAGCTAAGCCATGGAAATTATCTTTGCTTCCAAACACAGGCCCTGGAATTAGAAGAAGATATTCTCACAGTTGAAAAAACTAGAAATGTCTTGTGGGTAGCTCAAAAGCAATGTAGGTAGGGACTGGAGAACATTCACTAGAGAAGAGAAACTCTGAAGGATAAAGCTGAGATGGGGTCAGGAAGGGTGCTGGGGGGCACCAGGCCTGATCTAAGCAAGTCATATGGCCACATGCTGAGGCCAGTGTCAAGGGCCAAAGGTCTACCTCGTCTATAGGGACAGTCCTTAAGGCAGGGCAGCATATTTTCTGTAAAGGGCCACAAAGGAATCGTTTTTGGCTTTAAAGGCTATATATAGCTTCTGTACATAGTCTTCATGTCTGTTTCAGTTACCGTTTACTGGTTGCTGAGACAAAATACCCAACACCCAAAATTAAGGAAGGAAAGGTTTATTCAGCTCAGTTTGTGGAGGTTTAAGTACTATACTTGGCTGGCACCCAGGCAGAGTGGCACATGGCAGAGAGCAGCAGTTTATGACAGCAGAAAATAGCAAAGAGCAAATGGAAGGGCAGCAGCTGCAGCTTCTAGCTACCCTCTCTCCCCTCCTTATGAACAAGCTACCCTGGTGGTACAGAACTCACACAATGTCTGTGCCCTCCTCTGGCAGAGAATGAAGACGTTTACAAAGTAAGAATCCTGGCTTTCTGTGGAGTCTCTTAATTAAACTTCTGAACTTCTCAAGTTGACTCAACCAATATAATGTTTTACCCTCAAAAAAAAAAAAACCCTACCAGAGCTACCTATAACCCCAGGAGGAAGGAAGATGGCAAGTTCAGGGCTAACCAGGCAACTTAGAAAGATCCTATCTCAAAATAAACACTAAGTGAAGGGCTAGGAAAGCAGCTTAGTGCCCTGATTCAGTCTCCAGTAATGAAATAACAACAGATAACTCAAAATAACAGAATGGCCCAAATCAGGTTGCAAGGGGGAACGGAGTTGAACTAGGAGATCTAGCTGCGCTCCTTTCCTATGAGGCCCTCCTGCCAGAGCCAAACACCTTCCCCCCGTGCAGTTTCATCCATGAGTGGCAGCAGTGTCTTCTAACAGGATGGTGCAGAGAGTGAAGGAAGATCTTCAGTCCCACAAGCAGAGAAAATCCCCCTTGTCCTTCCTGCTCCCACCTCCCTGGTAGACCCACAGCCGTCCTTAGGCCGCCCCTCCTCTGGAGCTCATAGCATCCATCTGAGCTCGCACCTGGTACAAGGCGGTCCCGGGTATACCACAAGGCGATGCCATCTCCATGAAGATTCTTCTTTCCTGTGCCGTGGACTTTGAAGTGCACGTGCATCTCCCAGTCCTTGAGGAAACAGGGCTGGGGAGGGGCAGAGGGGGCTGCTCAGAGCTCCCCAGCCTTTAAACAGGCTGGGGGTGATCTTGGCACCGACCCCGTCCTGCATATCAATTTTCCCAACCCAGTGAAGATCCTGTACCTAGGGCCAGGTAGCAAGGTCCTAAGAGCTGCTGACCTCAGATCCCCAAACAAGAAGGGAAAACCACAGCGTCCCAAGGCCACTTGAGGGCCTGCTTTTATACCCTCAATACCAGCCACAGTACCTTTATTTGAGCCACATACATTTTTAAAATTTTAAAGAAAAAAAAGTAAAACAAAACAATAGATTAACAATGGTTAACATATCGAACATCACTATCTTTTAATTACTCAGTGTACAAGATATAGGCATTTAGTTTCCCAAACAATATTAGCATGCACCTTTTTCTTTTTTTTTTTTTTTTTTTTTAATTTTAAAAAAAATTTTTTTTTTTTTTTTTTTACAGGATCAGGGATTGAACTCAGGCCCTTGCAACCTTTTTCAATGAACTAAGAGAAATTAGTAGTATAATAATCTTAACTATGTTTGCGTGTGCGTGCGTATTTTTTGTTACTGTAATTTTTCCCTTCCTTCTTTTCCCCTTTCCCCCACCCCAGTTTTTCTTTCCTTTTGAACAGTTTCTTCCCATTATACGCTATCTATTGTATATTTATTTATTTATGTATCCAGGATTCAAACTCGGGACCTTGCACCTGCCAGGCAATGTACTATACATTTAGATTTTATTCATTCCTTCAGCCTCTCACACTAGGAAGACAGTACAATATTACACACGTGAGTCTGGTTTATTTCACTTGTGAATCTCAACTTGTATCCATTTACCTATAAAAGTCTCAAGTTTATCCTTCATTATGAGAGAATACTCCATTGCATAAAGACCACATGTTTTTTATCCATTCCCCAGTTGATGGGCATTTGGGCTATTTACAACAGTTAGCTATGACAAACTATGTCCCATAAACATGGGTGCACATATGTCGCTGTGGTAATGATATTTTCAGTTCTTCTGGGGTGGCACTGAGCCACATATTTTAAATAAAGCAAATTTTGAGGTAAAATAATTTGTACACGGCAGATGAACATATCATCTTAATTTTTACCCAGGTCTATCTGACTCTAAAACTTGCACTCCATCTTCTAGACCAGCAACAGCAAACCTTTTAAGCTTTCAATGATACAAACAGTCCACCACAGCAACTGTGCCAGATTCGCCACACTGCCCTACACGTTCCAAGACTTTCAAGCCTTGCATATAAACTATACCAACTCCTTTCTACCCACTCCACTTGCTTTTATACCCAACCTCCCAAAATGAGGAAAATCAGGCTGAGGCAGCTCTGTCACATTCAAACCCAAGGTCTGACCGATTGGAAAGCCCAACTCTTGGCCCGAACACCTCCTACAAACCTGACTCCGCCCAGGAATGGGGGCTGCTCTGGGTGGTGCCCCTATGCCTCTGGGCCACCAAGTAAGAGAAGCAGATCCACCCTGCAGCCACAGATACCAGCCGCTCATAGCAAGGTAAACACCCAACCCTTCCTTACTAGGAAGCTGCTTGAGAAAACGAATGCCAACACAAACTTGGACAAGAGACTTTACAGAAGCCAACAAATGGGCATGTGAGCAAGTGATTAAGGACCCACCAGAAAGACAGACTGAAACAAGTTATTATATGATCTACCAGTGTGGCAGCCATTAAAAAGATTAGTATCAATACAGGACACAAAGAAACAAGCACTTTCAAACAACTGGTGAGACTATAAATGGTCCTATTCTCTTGGGGTAAATTTGATTATGACCCTTTTGTTGTTGTTCTCTTTGAGACAGAATCTCACAATGCAGTTCAGGCTAGCCTTGAACCCACTGTGTAGCTCAGGCCGCCTTGAACTCCAGCAATTCTCCTGCCTCAGCCTTACAGGAATATGTCACTACATCTTCCTTGATTACAGCTTTGAAACAGAACAAGGCAGATCCCAGAAAGACATCTCACGATATCAAAGATACTGAAAGGAAAAGGTGTAAATAGTTTCAGTGTTATAGTCCCATGGGGGAGGGTAATTAAGAAAAAACAAAACACTGATATTGTTAGGTCATTACAAGAATTGTGGAGAATGTTTACTTTCTATGTTTGGATACTGTATAATGAACATACTACTTCTATTACCTGGAAAAACTCAAACAAAAAATAGAAAATAGGGCTGGGGAGATAGTTCAGCAGCATTAAAGGCCTGCCTGGCAAGCTCAATGACCTGGGTTTGATCCCTGGTACTACATGCTTTATCCCATGCCATGCCGCCAGCAAAACTGGGTGTGGTGGCACATGCCCGTATCCCAGCACTGGGGAGACTGAGACAGGAGGATCACTACAAGTCTGAACTGTGCATCGAGACCCTGTATCATATAATAAAAAAAAAGAAAGAAAGAAAGAAAAAAGAAAACGTTGTGTACCGATGCTGGCAAACTGGTATATGCACTCACAGATTCACAAGATTCACTTGCTCATCTCTGGGTACTGGAAACCTGGATGAGATGACCCAGCCTGGCTGCTAAGAACAGGGCATTAGCAAGGACCTGCATGACAGCTTGAAAAAGAGTATAAAACTTCAGAGTCTTCTCATTTCTGGAAAGCTCACTAGTCTGAGAACACTGAGTCAGGTGAGGGCATCTGAGGTGATGAGAACTAGCACTCAAGGACAGGGCAAGGAATCTGAGCGTACTTCCCACTGAGGACAATGGAGGACTTGCTTTGCCCTAGATTTACAGAAAGATTATAACCCTAAAGTGAGAGTGCACCAGAAAGGCTCTCCCAGGGACTCGGCTCAGCTTTGAGTCCTTCTCCTTCCTGAAATCAGACAAGGTAGTCACCTAGGCCTCAAGTTTTTCTACCAACGATTGTACAAATGCAGCATCCCACACACAATCATAAATATCAGGCAGACAAGGAGAAAAGGTCTGAATAAAATGAAGAGAAAGAAAAATCAACAGGAATTTCAGGTACTAGACTTTGTTTATTTTTAATGTATTTGGTACAAGGTCTCATGATGCAGCTTGGACTTGTAGTGATCCTCCTGTTTTTAGCCTCCCCAGCCCTGGGATTACAGGCACACGTCACCACACCTGGCTCAGTGAACCCAGGGGTGGGGCCAATGCAGCATGTGGTGCTGGGGATCAAGCCCTGGTCCCTGTGCTTGCCTAAGCAGGCACTTAGTCTGCTGAAGCTGAGCTATCTCACCAGCCTCAGGTGCTGAACTTTGAAATATGTTCAAGGAAACAAAAGACAAGACTTAGAATTCAGGTAGGGCTGGCCAAATAGCTTAGTAGATTAAAGCACCTGCAAGCAGACGCAGGGGCTGGGGTTCAATCCTTGGGCCTGCTATGCTGGCCCCACCCCCAGGGCATGCTGAGATGGCCATTGAGACTGGGCGTGATGGCGTGCATCTGTAATCCCAGCACTTGGGAGGCTGTAAATAGGAGAATCACTGAGTCCGATCTAGTAGTGAAATCCTGAACACCCTGTAGACCCTTCCCTAAAATACAAAAGACTTAGAATTCAGGAAGATGACTAAAATTTTAAAAATTCACAGTAACATATCAGAACTAAATAACATAATAGACAGATTTAATAAGCAATTAAGGACAGAAGCCAGGCGCGGTGGCACACACCTACAAATCT